TGTGCAGCATCAAGACTGGCTTGTTTGGATGCCCTTTTTCTTAGATTTCTTGTAAGCACTTGAAGATTCCCTTTACTTCTCTGGAGTTGTGGAATGCAAGTGTTTTTTTTTTTTTTATTTATTGTTTTGTTTTTCAATCTACTCATGATGTAGGTAAGCACTTCAAAATACTGACTTGGATGAGTACAGAGGTGGGAGTCCCTTCATCTATTCTTTCCATGGTTTATCAGTCTCTGTCGAAGCCCCTGCATTTGCAGGCTGGGCCAGAAGCAGTGGTGGCAGATGTGGAGCAGGGCCTATTCCCTGTCAGAGACAACACAGTTGTGGAGAAATGGGCTATTGCAATAAATAGGTTGCCAGCAGTACCACTCAGGAACAAAAAGGTGCTATGGAAATTCAGGGGAGAAATACCATGAGAAACCTCTAAAACAGTGGTTCTTAACCTTCCTAACACCATGGCCCTTTAATACAGTTCTTCATGTTGTGGTGACCCCAACCATACAATTATTTTTGTTGTTACTTTATAACTGTTATTTTGCTAGATGGATCATAATGTAAACATCTGATATACAGTATACCTGATATTTGACCCCTGTGAAAGGGCCATTCAACCCCCCAAAGGGGCTGTGACCCACAGGTTGAGAACCAACTCTCTAGACACTTTGTGAGGAAAAAACACATTCTAATAGATGAGTAGAAGGTAGTTGAAGCCCAGAGAGGAAGAGTGGGGAGCGTGGGTGAAATGCTGGAGTGGAAAACTAGAAACTAAAGAAGCTAGGCTTGGAGCCAGGTGGAAGGAGAGGGCACAGGGTGTGGCCATACTAGCCCAAAGGCTGAGGAGATTCCCCCAGAGACTAGATTCTGTCCTGGAGAAAAACAGAAAGGGGGTACTAAATGAGACAGAACAGTTTATTGTGCGAGTTGGGCCTGTGATATTAAAACCTCCATTGAGCACCCCCAGTCCCTCAATCTAGTTTCCACAGGCTACAGGAAAAATGTGGTGACTAATGAGGAGAAAAACTATTCCATGAAGTCCAGTGAGTGGGTAGCCAGGACAGGGCAGTGTTGGATGGCAGCCGTCTCCAGAGGGACACTGGAGTAGCCAGCCTCAGGCTTACTTGCTGAAGCTGGGTCCCCAGGCTGCCACCTGCTGAAGCTGGGTCCCCAGGCTGTCACCTGCTGAGGCTGGGCTCTCATGCTGCCACCTGCTGAGGCTGAGTCCCCAGGCTGCCACCTGCTGAGACTGGGTTCTCATGCTGTCACCTGCTGAGGCCAGGTCCCCATGCTGTCACTTGCTGAGGCTGGGTTTTCATGCTGTCACCTGCTGAGCCTGAGTCCCCGTGCTTTGTCACCTGCTGAGACTGGGTTCCAAGCTCTGTAGAAGTCAGGTAGGTAACAGTGTATGTCTTGTACTATCTGCCTCAGAGGCCCATAGACTGCTGGAGTCCAAGCTGACCACAACTTAACTGTCCTTTAAAAACAAAAACACCAATCCAAAAACCAATCAACCCTGAAAGGACTTGGAGTGGGCCAGCTGACTGCATCCCCGGTTACTAGGGAACGGGACAAGTTGCAATGTTCCATCACAGGAAACGAGACTGCTCCAGCAACTGCCAGCCTGTTTCCACCAGGATCCCAGCCAGCTGTCCTTTATATGCTTGGCACCAGAACTGAACAAGGATAGCAGCAGCTTGTCTGGCTAAACACTTCATCCTGTGATCCCCTCTGAGGCACAGCATCACAGCGGTTCCCACTAAAACATTGCAGGCGGAAGCTGTGGAATGGCCACCTCTTGACTGTGTGCCACATACACCTAGAAACCATACCCACAGGATGAAATCACATCCCTTCAGTAATCTCTCTTGATAGTAAGTTAAAGATAACTTGTGTGTTCTCATATACTACATACCCAGTGTCCCTTGCCATCTGCCACTGCTCTATTTGTCAAAAGAAATGACACCGGTACATAGCCTCAATCTCCTCCGGTCTTGTCTTTGACATTCATGAATATGACAATGTAAGGAGTATTTTTGTAGATCTAATTCAGTTACAGCTTTCTCTTGTCTAGGTTGAGGCTATGAGTCTCCTGGGAGAATTCTTGTGGTGAGGTGCTCTTGCCATATCAATAACAGAGGGCTCCTGTACAACATGATTTCACAGATGCTATGAACTTTCTTGGTTACTTTTATTTTCCCTCTTCCATATTCTATCCACTGGGAAGCAAGTCACCCAGCACAGCCTGCTATTAGAGGGAGGGAGGGGAGGAGGGAGGTAGGGAGGTCGCCTCAATTTAAGTTGATCTTAAATTACTTAAATTCTTTACTTAGGGACGACTTGAGGCACCCGCCCCCACTTTTGGATGCATGACCTGGGTTTAGCCACACATTATTTTTAAATGTGCTATTACATTTATTTATGTATGTGTGGGGGTGCACATGTTCCACAGTACTTTTCTGGAGATCAGAGGACAACTTGTGGGAGTTGGGATCTTTCCACCATGTGAGTCCCAGGGACTGAATTCCAGTCATCAGGCTTGGAAGCAAGTTTTCTTTTTTACTTGCTGAGCCGTCTTGCCAACACACACTTAATTTAACATTTTTAAACTTTTCATTATTCATTTGTTTATTTTCATGTATGTGACGGCTTATAGGTATGTGTACCACATGAGTACACCGTCCATGGAGACCAGAAGAGGGTGTCAAGTGTCCCTGAAACTGGAGTTACAACATTGTGAGCTGCCATGTGGATGCTGGGAGTTGAACCTGGGTCCTTTGCAAGAGCAAGTGCCCAACACCCCAACACCTGCTCCCCAATATAGATTTCTTGTGTCTGCATGCAGATGTGTGTGAAGGCATCAGACTCTGGAGCTGGAATTAAAGACAGAAAGGCAGCTGTGAGTCCTAACACCCTATAGGTACTGTGAACGCTGGTCCTCTGCAGGAACAGCAAATGTTCTCAACCTGAACCATCTCTCTAGCCCATTTATTTTTCTCAACCTTTATTTTTCTTTTTTTTTAAAAACATAATTCTTTCTTTGGGAATTTCACATCAAGCACCCAAATCAACCTTTATTTTTTAAAAAATGTTATGTGTAGGTAAAAGTTTAGGTGTTTTGCCTGAATTTATTTCTGTGCACCAAGTGTATACAGTACCCTCTGAGGCCAGAAGAGGCATTGGATACCCTGGAAATGAAGTCACAGTGAACCATCATGGTGATGCTGGAATTGAACCTGGGTCCTCTGGAAAAGCAGCCAGTGTTAACTACGAAGCCATCTATCTCTTTAGCCTCCGTTTAGGTAAAATGTGCAGTAGTTTATGCATCCAGTCAATGCAGTGTCATCCAACAAAGGAATGTGGCATGGGCACTTGCCACAATGTGGATGAATTTTAGAATTATACACTACCAGCCAGGTGGTGGTGGTGCACGCCTTTAATCCCAGCTCTTGGGAGGCAGAGGCAGGGAGATCTCCGAGTTCAAGGCCAGCCTGATCTACAGAGACAGTCTCAGGACAGGCTCCAAAGCTACAGAGAAACCCTGCCTTGAAAAACAAAATTAAAAATTAAAAAAAAACCAAAAACACCAAACTTATGAGGACATGCATAGTAGTATACGCCTTTAATCCCAGAACTCAGAAGGCAGAGGCAGTTGGGAATCTATGTTTAGTACCAGTCCAGCCAGGCCTACACAGAGACCCTGTCTCAAAGGGATAAAAAAAAAAAAAAAAAAAAAAAATCCTTTCAGAACACTCAGTACCATCTGAATGCCAGTGTCCTTGGAGCTAGATGCAAGCTTCCAGAAAGCAAAAACCGTTATCTTTTTCATTGCTGATGAAAATAGGACTTGGTGTATATTTGGGGTGATTGATTCTTAAGAACTTTATGTACCAATATGGAGCTGCTAAGGAAAGCAAGGCAAGGAACACAAGTGCAAGCTACCCATTTTGCACAGCCGGTGTAGTGCGGGTGGGGAAGAAACACACCCACACAAGTTTATATATGGCACAGGCCTGGAAGGCTCCTCTTTTGCTCCCCCTGCTCTGGCCCTTTAAGAACCACACTGGAAGGCAGATGATGGTGGATTAAAGGTGGGCCTTTAATCCCAGCACTAGGAGGCAGAGGCAGGCCTATCTTTTGGGAGTTTGAGGCTAGCCTTGTCTACAGAGCTAGTTCTAGGATAGTGAGATCCTGTTTTGAAAGTCAAACAAAAAAACCCAAAATGGCTGTGTTAATTCACACTCGTAATCCCAGCACTAAAGGAGGTTAAATCAAGATCCATGTTTAGGCCGGGCATTGGTGGAGCACGCCTTTAATCCCAGCACTTGGGAGGCAGTGGCAGGCGGATCTCTGTGAGTTCAAGGCCAGCCTGGTCTCCAGAGCGAGTTCCAGGATAGGCTCCAAAGCTACACAGAGAAACCCTGTCTCGAAAAACCAAAAAAACAAAATCCATGCTTAGACAATCCAAACAGCTCCACTTCTTTGGTGTCTTCAAACAGTCTTGCTATGTAATCCTGGCTGGCCTGGAATTCCCCAAGTAGACCATATTAAACTGGCTTCCAACTTGTGATCTCTACTACCCTGCTTGGGGTGTGTGTGTGTGTGGTGTTTAGCTGTCCCATGACAGCATGGGCTACTAACAGTTCCACTTTGAAAATACTGGCTGGCAAATTAATGCCAGAGTGGCAGGGGCCCTGCCAGAGTGGCAGCCTCAGCATCTCCTCTCTCAGGTTCCCATTCTCAGAAAGCCAGCCTGCAAACCCAGGTTTGCCAACCCCCAACCTACATTAGAAGCTCCTACATGCAATCTTAACATCCCCTCAAAACACTGCCTTGGTGTTGCCCTGGGTGGCCCCTAAGGTCACCGGGGTGTGGTGGTGCATTCCTTTATCCCCAGTACTTGGGAGGCAGAGACAGGTATGTGGATCTGAGTTGGAGGCCAGACTCTTCTACATAGACATGGAGAGAGATCCTGCCTCAAAACAAACAAACATCAGAACCAAAATAGCTTATACAAAGCAATTTATTAACAGAAAATAATTTGAGAAGTCCTGTTCACAGACGGCGACCACGACGACCACCCTTCCTTCGGGTGCTGTCAGAGGGGATGGGGGTGACATCCTCTGCAAGAAGAAAAAATGTCATTGCCCATAGCTACATAAACACAGCCTCCCTAGCCATTAGACTAACTAGCAGACTTTATTCTTCCCCAAATGTATCACCAGTGGTCAATAAACAAGGGCCCACCTCACCTGTCATTTCCTCATCTCAACCCACATTGGACGAGGACAACACAGGCTCTGAGAAGGCACACAAACATCAGAGGGGAAGGACTCCTTCAAGTTTCTAACTCAGAGCCCCTACACTGAGCACCTGTGGCTGTTTGCTCTTTAGGCCAGGTGTGTGCAATTATTCACTTGGACTGTCCCAAGGGCATACCCTTAACATTTAGCTAGCAGGGAAAAAGGCTGCTAGGACAGATTCACAAGTGTTTTTTAAGTCTTCCCAATTGCAAATGGGAAAATATAACAGTTAAGGGGCATTTACAGAAATCAACGCTCTCAATGTCTTTTACAGGTTAACAAAAGTTAACTGCACCAGTCACCAGACAAGCTTGAACCAATATGCACATCACATAGTTTGGAAGGGGTCAATGCTTCAAAATAAACCCAATGTTAGCTAGAAGGGTCACTTACCAATCCGCCCAATCTTCATCCCTGAACGAGCAAGAGCTCTGAGGGCTGACTGGGCTCCAGGTCCAGGGGTCTTGGTCCTAAAAAATGAAGGATTGTTGGTCAAGTCAGTGGGAATGTTCACATGGTTTTAATTCACTTCTGAATGGTGGTGGGGCTATAGTTAAAGATCTGCACACTGTGAGGGGATTACACAAAATTCTAGACTTTGTAGGCTGCTACGGTTTTCATATATTATACAATCTCACAACAAAACCAAATCCTGCGTTGGTGCACACCTTTAATCCCAGCACTCGGGAGGCAGTCGGATCTCTGTGAGTTTGAGGCCAGCCTGGTCTCCAAAGCCAGTGCCAGGATAGGCTCCAAAGCTACACAGAGAAACCCTGTCTCGAAAAAACAAAACAAAACCAAACCCTTTCAAAACTGCTAACTGAGGCCTGGAGAGGTGGCTCAGCAACACCAGTTCCAAGAGATTCATGGTCCTCTTCTGTCCTCCACAGGGAACCGATAATGCACGCATGCATGCACACAGGCAACATACGCATGTAATTTTTCCCACTTTTGTGGGGGGACGCCCCCCAAGAGATGCTGGGATTAAAGGTGTGAGCCACCATGCCTACAAATCCTTTAAAAGTGTACATGTGTGTGTGTGGGGGGGGGAGGGGATAGTCACCTGGCCTGTGGCTGTCCTCCCCTTGCTGTGATGCCTACTTCCCAGCTCCTACATCCAGTATGTAACTTCCTTAGGGCTTCCTATGCAGTATCTTTCCACTCAGTAGCCACCTATTCTAGTTTTCATGCCCAAGCCCTTGCTCTGTTTTGTAAAACTTAAGACCCCAGAGGCTCCATCCCTGCTTCTTAGATCATATCTTACACCAATCATCCCTGTAAAGCCCAACTTCTTTCTCACCCCAAGATGCTTCTCTTGAAGTTTTGTCTCTATCTGGACTATGCACCCCCAGTTCATCATTTAAGCATCACTGTTCAGCTCAAGCTGGCCACCTACTCAATATGCAACCAATAACCAACTTGAAACTCTAGCTCTCCTCACCTCCACTTTCTGAGACAACAGGTGTATACTACCACACCCAGTCTACCTGGTGCTGGGGAAGAGTCAGTCTCATGTATGCTTTAAAAAAAAAAAAATAAAAGCAGCACTCTACAGGGACAAACATAAAGGAACAAACTATCTTATTTTTGAGGCTCACTGTGTAGCCCAGGTTAGCACCAAACTTTAGATCCTCCTCCTATATTGGTTCCGGAGTGCTGGGATTACAGGTATCAGCTACCATGCCTGACGAAGAACATACATACATTCCTAAAACGGCTTGCTCTCAGACACAGCAGAGACTCAAATCTCAGATCCACCCCCAAGCCCAGTGAACTTACAAATGTCCAGCCCTAGACTTCCATACCTGTTTCCTCCCGTAGCTCGGAGTTTGATATGCAGGGCAGTGATGCCCAGCTCCTTGCACCTCTGGGCAACATCCTGGGCAGCCAACATGGCTGCATAAGGAGAAGACTCATCTCTGTCAGCCTTTACCTTCATTCCACCAGTCACCCGGCAGATAGTTTCCCTAGAGACAAAAGCAGATCCATGCCTTCATTTTCCAACAAGGACACAGGAAACACTTGCTGAACCCCAACAAGCACACATCCTGGTTCTGAACAAGACAGGAGTTGTGTATAATTACAGGGGTCCAAGGACCCTATCTAGACAAACTCCCTGTTAATACAACAATTAGTTTTGCATTTTATCCCCATAATCACTTCCATAATGCATATATTTTACATGTGCGTGTAGCTGAGGATAATTGAGTTTCTGATCCTCTTGCTTCCACTTCCTATTTGCGGTGATTTTCTGTGGATGAATCCTCAGCTACATTCAACTGTTTTCTCTTATAATTTATGGGAAAATAAGAAAATCAGTAATTCTTTAGAGGGAATCCCATAAACTCCTATGCCTTTTTCTCCCACCTCAGTCCCTGTGAGGCTTGGTTTTATGTCTTCATGTCCCCAAGTACTCACTTGCCAGAAAGATCAGTAACATGGACAAAGGTGTCGTTGAAAGATGCAAAAATGTGGCAGACACCAAATACATTCTCTCCTTCAGCCACTTGAGGTCCGAGGCTGATGACCTGTTCTTCCTTCTTTTCCTTTCCCTTGCGAGGTGCCATTTCTGAGTGGAAGGAGAACCTCCATGTTAACAGACAAAACATCCCCAAATACTTTAGCCTACTAAAGGAAAACCCAAGCTCCTTTGGCTCTCTAATATCCAACATATTTGTACTTGGGGAATTACTGAGTTGTAACTAAAAGGGAGGCGCCAAGAGAGGAGACAATTTCTAAACAAAAGCTCCAAGCATTTTCAGGATGAGCCTAAGATTCCAGCAATGAACAATATGCACCTCAAACTTTCACAAGTAGTTATCCAAAATAGAGGATGCTGAACTCAGGTGTTGGGGCAAAGCCCCATTCACAACTCCCCTCTCCCTCTCCTTAAGCTGGGAAGTTTATTTGATTAACATGACACAACTGAAGCCAACTGCAGATTAACGGACTCCCTGTCCACACACAATTCTTAATCTGACAGCCTCTCACTGTTTAGAACCAAATCTTTCACCCTTTACTAGTAATAAACATTAAAAAGCACTGCCACAGCAATGTGTGCTTGTGTATAACTTTAGCCCCAGCACCTGGGAGTCACAGGCAGGAGGATATCGTAGTTATGGTCTACGTAGCAAGTCCCAGGATGGTCAGGGTATGCCTTCCAGGAAGTTTAATGGTAAAGATATCCATACCTAAAATTCAGTGTTCAGCATCAAGTGAGTCTACCCTTTGGTTCTCAACCTAACGCTGTGACCCTTTAGTACAATTCTCATATTGTGGTGCCCCCCACACAAAAAGTCATTGCTACTACTTCATAACTCTAATTTTGCTATTGTTATGAACTGCAAATACACCTGACATGTAACCCCTTCCTGCCTAGTCAATAATGTAAGTACAGTCACAGGACCCAGGGAAAATACACAAGCAAAGAGGCTTTTTTTTTTTTTGCCAAAGCTGCAGGCATGCCTTTGACCAACCCGAGGCTAAGTCTGTCCAGGACAATACTGCACCAAAGCCTGTCTTATACTCCTCCTAGAACCAAGATGCTCCTACTCCACAAAGTTCCTCCTAGGCCTTAAAAGTTTCAACCACACCTGGGATCTCTGTAGTGCCTCCCTCACACACTATTTGGGACTTATTTGCCAAAAGCACAAGGGCAGGTCCAGGATGTAGTCACCTGCTCATACCCTCAAATTAGGCTAACAAACACGATTCCATAAGACATGACATCTGTTCAGTGTAGCTTTGCCGTCCTCAGTGGAGACGAGAGGGCTATTCAGAGAAATGTAAACATATGGCATCAGTCCTACTCTACTAGGGGGCACCCCAACAGGCAATGTGTCCGACTCGGAGGGGTAACCACCATGGGTTAGAAGCACTCTAATCCTGCGTGACCAGGTTTTCTGACATCCCATTTTACGCTTCGGTTTACAGAAGGGGCAGATACGAACGCTGCTCGTATTTTCCACATGAGGGGCATGAGGTTAGGTGCAGGTCGTCGACGGCCCCTAAGAATCTAATGGGG